AAGAAGAAGAAGAAGAAGAAGAAGAAAAGAGAAAAGGAAGAAGAAGAAGAAAAGAAAAAAGAAAGAAGATGAAGAAGAACGAAGAAGTAGAAGAGAAAGAAGATGAAGAAGAAAAGAGAAAAGAAAGAGAAGTGAAGAAAAGAGGATAAGAACGGAGAAGAAGAAAAAGGTGTGGTTGGGTGAAGAAAAAAAAAGATAAGGGAGAGAGAGAATGGAGAAAAAAAGATAAGGGGAGAGAGTGAATGAAGGGTAATTAAGTCTTTTTAGTATTAAAAACTTTCCAAAAAAGGAAATGGGAAGTTTATTTGTGGACGGACGAAAAAGGAAAGTGGGAAGTTTTTTTGTGGACGGAGGGAGTATTTTAGAACTTCGTCCTTAAATTATAATGATCTTGATTTGGCATTCCATAAATTGCATTTTTCTGGATATCACAAAACATATCGAATTTAGCAGGAGACCACAATACCGGATGATTCAACACGTACTCAAAATTACAAATCCAGAATTCAAGGTTGTTCATCACAATATAAGTGAAAAACATGGGAGGAGTATCTTTGCGATTTTCCTTTTCACCGAGCAAATCTGTTATCAGACCTATTAATTGTTGAATTTCACATTCGAGTTCAACTTGGAACTTAGATAAGCAGTAAAAGCAATCTCAATGACACTCTCTCAAGTTATGTCCACCTTAACTTCTTCATCATTGAAATAGATAATGTCCTTTGCATTCTCCATCTCTAGACTTGGGATAACTCGAAACCGCCTAATGTTGTTATTCGTCCACAACATCAAGTGACATATCAATTTCAACCCAACCTCTTTCAAAGACAAAATTGCAAACCCACTGAGTTGTTTCACCTAAATAAAGTAAGACAGATGAACTGCACCCAACCTATTCATGTCTTGTAAATGAATAGAAAAGACAATTATTACAATATTAAGAAAAATTAATAGTTTTGAATTTTGAAATAACAAGGAGAGAGACTCACATCGACCACCAATTTTAATGTGGTGGATGACAACTTAAATTGCGAATTAATTAATCTCTTTTGACAAATCTGAAGTTTCCAAATGTACTAATTTTTTGTAATAATCATGTTATTGACTAGAGGGTGGTGGTTTAGTTACTAAATTGCTCCAATTCAAATCTGTATATAGAGCAAGATCAAGGATTTTCTCTCTAAGGTAACGATCTTGAAGAACACTTTTATAATTAAGTGAGATCTCAATGATAATTCTAACATAGCACAAGAGAACAGAATATCGAAAACCAAACATACAATGCACACAACAAAGAATGAAGCAACTTCCACCTAGAGATGGTAATTCAACCCGAATCTGATCTTAACCGACCTGACCGAACACTAAATTTTTTGAACCCAAACCGAGAATAAAATAATCCAAACCCAATTGAAAATTTGTTACTCGAACCCGACATCGAGTCGGATCGGGTGTGGTTTTATAATTTTACCCAACCTGAACCCGAATATTTTAAAACTTAATACCTTTTCTATGGGTACAATGTGTATTCTTTATAATCTCTTCTTTTCGATTCTCCACGCAGGTGCATCTCTCTCTTGGTCCTTACATCACATCTCTGTGTGTTTTCCGTTCTCCTTGTACAATTCTTACTTCCTTGCATCTTTTCCTTTAACACATCATTGGTTTATCTACTATTTTGTTTGCATTTTTTGCCATGCAATTAGGGGTAGGCACGGGTCGGGAGGGTTTGAGTTTTATGCTTTTTTGCATTTTGTCCTGTTTTTTTCTAACTGTTTGGGCCACAAGCTTATCCCTCTTTTTCCCTTAATATTCGGGATCGAGATAAAACAGAACGGGTTCGGGTTGTCTTACTTTGTCAATATCCGAAATTAGATATAAAAATATAAACTACCCAAGGGGAGACAACCCACTTTGACTTACAAAGTAATAAAAAATGATATATTTTTTTAGAATGCTTTTAAAAAGCATGAACAATAAGTAAATGTGAAAAAATGTTACAACATACGTCAAAAGTTAAGACTATAAGCCTCATGAAAACTTTGAGCCACAAATTAAGGTGGGTTGGGTTATAACGGTCTGGATTTTTAGGTGTTTTGTTCATAGTCTATTTTTCAAATATTCGAATATGATATTTTTTATATCTATTTTGGGGAAAACAAAAATTATGATATTTTTTGTGGTATATTCTTATGTAAATAAATAAATAGATATATACATCTAAACCGGACAACGGGATAAAGTGGGAAAATATTTATGTATCTCGGTTTTGTCCCATTTTAAAACAGTTCAGATTGGGTGTGGGACAAAATTCTGTCATGCCTAACAAAACTAAACATAATAGGGACGAGACAGGGAGGTCACGAGAATGGTTTTGGGATTCTTGCCCACTCCTACATGCAATCGTCCGGACATGGTGCTACAAAAGAATCTAGATTTGTACCTCAATAAAATTGAGAAATTAGGCCAAAGTTCCTAAGGCACTGTGACGTTCTTTTGACCAATCTTTTAAATAGACTGAAAATTGAGAAATTAGGCCAAAGTTCCCCTTTTTTTGAAAAAATATGTGGCAAACTAACATGGTTTTACGTGTCTATAACTGTGCACAAGACAAGTCTCTTGTGCTTGAAATGTTATCACATAATTTTACGTGAAAAAAATAATCATGCCAAATTTTGTCAATTTTCTGGTTAAAATTTGGCCAAAAGTGTGATGATATACCCCTAGAAACTTGAAGTCAAAATTTTAAAAAAGAGTATTGCATTGTATTGACAAATCTTTTGTGCCTAAAAGTTTACCATGTTATATATATATGTATGTATGTATGTGTGTGTGTGTGTGTGTGTGTGTATATATATATATATATATATATAAACCTCCATAAAAATTACAAGAATAGAATCAAATGAAAATTTTATAATTTTAATAATAGATTATGAAAGAGAAATTAAAAAGTTTGTTTTTTGACATTTTCAAGAAAATGAAAATTTTAAAATTTTAATAATTGAATGTGAAAGAGAAATGATAAAGATTCTTTTTTTTTTAACTTTTTCATTAATTATTAGAATGCTTGTTTGGTATTCTAAAACATTCCCTTCTTTTCACAACAAATAATTATGTCATTATTTCACAACTTCAATTAGAGTAACTATGTTTTGTTTATAAAATTGATTCTTTCTACCCTTATCCTCCCCCCTCCGGTAAACCTCTCCACCATGGCTCAACCCAAACACCCCCCCCCCCCCCAACTTCTTTCAGTTTCATCTGCCAAATTTAGTTAACTTTTAAAACATTGACAACGCCCCTTGTCAAAGAATAAGTAAAAAACCATTTTGGACAGAAGTAATCATCCTCAGTAATTGAATTCATCTTTGACGGGAAAAAGGAAAAAAAAAGTTACTCAACTAGTTAAGAGATTACCAACCTACATTTGGAGACTTAAGAAAGTTAAAATACGTCCCCAAAAAAAGGAAAAAAACAAAACTCAAGGTCTGTTATTTACTCTGTATAAGACTTAAAACAACACTATTACAAACAAGAACTTTCAAAAAGTAGCACTACTACCCACTCCCAAAAATAAAGGAACAAACAAACAAGGCCTACGTACAAGAACTCGAGTCACACGAGCCTCAACACACCTGCTCGGAGATACCACACTCTAAGACTTCATCCCGAAGGGGCAGGGGCTCATGATTGATTCACCTGCTTCTCGAGCTTTCATATCCCGAATGACTACTTGCAGGGTAACTCAAATTGTCCTGCATAACAACTTCTAGAGTCAAATATCCATCAAAACTTGATGGGAAATGAGTGTACATATATACAAAGCATAATCTTCTTGTTTGGTAACACTAATGATTATACAAGTAGTGTTTAAGGGGGTTCAATGCTATGCATGGTCGTCCTTATCTCCCCTTTTACATCCTTTCTTAGTCATCTAAGCTATATGTCCCCGAAACCCTCTACATTCTTAATGTTGAGGATAGAGGGGAGAAATTTTTTTGGCTCTCAATCCCAACCCTTACCCTATGTTTGGTTCGTAGAATTCGATCAAAAAAGAAAAGAAAGGAGTTTTCTCTCATTTTCTTCACCGAAATGGAAGTAAACTTGTTTTCCTTCTCTTTAGTTCATTTCTTCTTTCGTTTTTTTCCTCTCTAACCAAACAATGAAAAATTTATTTCCCCCTCATTTTTTCCCCTTTTGAATTCTACAAATCAAACATAGGGCCATCCTTTGTTTTTTTTCGTGGAATTCGAAAGGAAAGAAAAAAAAGAGTTTAATTTTTTCTCCTTGTCCTCACCAAAATGGAACGAAAACTGTTTTCCTTCTCTTTAGTTAACTTTTTCTATTTTCTATTTCTTTTCTTTTTCCTCCTAATCAAACAAGAAAAAAATTTCTCTTATTTTCTTTTCTTTTACCTATCGAATTCCTTGAACCAAACATAGGGTTAAAGTGTTTTGGACTATATGAGGGGAGGGGAAGGGAGGGGAGGAAATCATTTCCCTTCTCTCCTCTCGATGCCTACCCTCCAACCAAACACTCCCTAAGATTAGGGGTTATGTGGACAATCCATAACCTATTCCAAGTGACCCATCCATGGCAATTGGTCCAATGAAGAATGCATGCACTAAAGATATCTATAGCTAGGCTTACTTGAGACAAAGATGTTTGGCTACAGTTTGAGGAGGGCGGGCCATAGAACTGCAGCGGAGTTGAGTTCTCTTCTGCCAATGCTCTCAACCTCTCCAACTCGGGCAACACGACATTCCCAAGGTCTGGCCGGTCTCTTCTTCTGAGCTCAGAACACTTCAATGCTAAACTGGCAAGAACCAGAGCCTCTTCAACAGGCCAGTCAGAGATGGCCGGGTCAAGCATTTCACCAAAACACCCTTTCTCGATCGCCCTCTCCACGTAATGTGTCAGCCCCACTGGTGATTTAGCCGTTAGCATCTGAAGGTATATGATCCCAAGGGAATAGACATCCGATTTCACACCCAGCATCCCCGTTTGCTGATACTCCGGGTCTATGTAGCAGAACGTCCCCGCGGCAGATGTCATCCGGTACTGCGTCACGTTTTCAGCCACACTTTGAGGCACCAGTCTGGTGTTCAAGTCACAACACGTTTTTATACAATAATTCTTACAATGTTGTATTTGTCACTTCATTTGTTCTAAAGCAAAATCCATTGCTGGATTGGAACTCCTTAACACATAGATCATCATCATCATAATATTTCTCAAAACAAATCGGAATTGTTTAGAAATTGTTATGAAGTTGCATGTCCAAAAGTGATGTCAATAAAAATTTGTACTCTGTCCATCTCAAAATTATATCCCCGTGTGCGAATGACACAGAGATTAAGAGTAGAAAAGAATCATAAAAATCTCCATGCTTACTTTTTAGGGGTTTGGTAAGAGTACAATGAAAAGGCAGAAAACTTGTAGGTTGATGACGGTAAACGAAGTGTATTTTTGTTTTAGAAAAGTAAAAGATACAGTACATGACAAAAAAGAAAGTGGGAAGTTAATTTTGGGACGGAACGAGGGAGTAGTTTATTAAAAAGGAGTACTTATTATTTAATACCTTGCCAAACCCACATCACTAATTTTGCTGACGAAGTTGCGGTCAAGCAAGATGTTGGCGGGCTTCAAGTCACGGTGCACCAACGGCTCCGGCTTGTTCTGATGTAGAAAAAGTAAACCCGTCCCTATCTCAGCTGCAATCCTGAACCTTTGCTGCCAAGCAAGTGGGGGCGTGTCACCGCGAAGGAGTAGACGGTCTTCCAAGCTCCCATTCGACATGTACTCGTACACTAAGCAACCATATTCCGGGCAAGCCCCTAGAAGAAGCACCATGTTTGGATGCCTTATGCAACTCAGCACCTCAATCTCTTGTTGAAACTGTTGCCTTCCGTGGACTGCGTCCGGTCTGAGGACCTTGACTGCGACCGGGGTGTGGTCCAGATAACATTTGTAGACCGGACCGTATCCACCCTCACCAATTTTTCGGGATTTGGAGAAGTATTCGGTTGCGGTTTCAATCTCTTCGATCGTGTATTTCCTGTACCTCGAATCCGACATTGAGCTTAATACCTTGTTCTTCTCCTCGGCTTCTTTTAAAGCCTTCAGCTCTGCATTGATTCTCTTCTGAGCTTCTAGTTCTGCAATCCTCTGAGCTGCTTCTGCTTGCTCAATGGCTAACTTAGATTTGGCTTTCTCCTTCTCAGCAAGTGCCAGTGCAGCTTCCTCTGCTAACCGTGCCTCTTCTAATCTCTTCTGTTCTTCCATTTTCCACCGCTCTAGCTCCAGTGCCTGCAAATAGCTACTGTCAAGTGCTTACAAAATACTTGGCAAACGAGAGCGCACCAGACTTGGGTAATATATGGCAAACCATAAGCTAGCAATTAATTTCTTTTTATGGAGCTTTTAAAATGATATTCCATTTGGTCTGAGGGATTTATTTGATAAGGCCAAGCTTGTATTGTAAGTTTCTTTGAATAGCTTTTTCAAATAAGCTCCATGTATGTTTTCTTTTATAATTTCTCTTCTATTATTAAATCCCTTATCAATCTTAAGTTTCTTTTAACATATCTGGTGTGTCATACCACATGCAAATTCTAAGTTAGCTACTAATATTGAGAGTTTGAGACCAACTAGTTTTTCAACTATCAGGTCTAGACCTTGTTTGGCAAATAGCTGCTTTGACTGGCTCATTAAAAAAAACTTAGTTCTCTGGTAGTGAAATATGGTGAGGGTGTGCATGGAAGTAGAGAGGCTGTTGCACAGTTTGTTTGGCCAAACATAGCTTCAGAGAATCAGAGTTTGGCTTGCCTTTTGCTTTGCAGTGAGTGCTTCTTTGCAGGCTGTGCTATACATTTCCATTGTTTGCTTGAGCTCAAGCTTTAGCCTTCTCATTTCTGCTCCCACATCTTCCTACATTGTGAACCACAAGAATGGAAATTTAAATTTCTTAACCTGCAGAGAAAACTGCATTCAACAAACTACCTGGGACAGCAAAGAGGCTTTATCAGTGTCAAGTGAATCTGAAAATATCAAGGATTCCATTGATTGCCTTCCACTGTGCAGCAGCTCAAGATTACTGTCATCCATTTCTGAGAAACCTGAAAGCCGCGGAGGGGTGGGTCCCTCATCAACGCTTTCGGCATATGGGAAAAAGGTGTCAACACTCTGCCTGCTGACAAAAGACACGTCCAGGTCAAGCTTGGCGGATTCAAACGGTCTGCCACTGGCAGCTCTCCTGTGAGTGAATGGAGACCTGTTGCACTATTAAATTCTGATTAGGCCTCGTAAATAGATTGGGTGAACTAATAATGCTACATTATGCTACAGGAGTACATACTCATCATCTTTGATCCAAGAAATAGGAAATGGAGAAGAGACATTTAGACAGGGAAACAGTGCACCCATAAGTTTCCATTGAACAAACATAGTACAGATCATGTTATTAAAGCAGTTTCATGTGCATAAAACAAGCACAGGAGAAGGAGACTGACTTGATATCGTTCTGTAAAACGCCAGCAGGTGGCTCTAGAGCTGCCAAAGAGCTAGTTTTTGGATTGTGTGTTGGAGGTAAGGGTAAGTCAGGTGCAGCATTTGCTTTGTTGCTACTCTGCTGTGCCATCTGGTGCCGAAGTGGATGGATAAATGGCGGTAGCCGGGAAGCAGACCGCGTGGATGATATCTTCCCAGTTTTGGATATGACGTACACGGCGCAGAAATCCGGGGCCAATTTCAACGTGTTTCCAGGAACGTCTCTTGCTTTGAATCTTAGATGCAAAATAAATATATATTTTTTTCAAAATAAAGAATGAAAAAAAATCTGAACTTGTCCCAATTCAGTGACTCCACAGTGTGTGTTAAGGGACAAAGCTCACCTGAGAAGACCTCCTTTAGTTGCAGCACCAAGAACCACCACCTCGATTGCTGTTCGGTTTACATACTCAACTATGGCTTTGGCAGGATCGGTATGCTCTAGTGCAACTTCGTAGCATTGTACCTGCATATACATCACCTATGAACCCAAAGGCACAAAAGATCACAAAGATTGCCCTTTATATGTTGTTTATAAGGCAATCTAAGATTTCCTCCTCACTCCAAGGGTATGTTTGGAAAACGTAAAATGCGAGTACATGAGTTTTAGCCAATATTTCATTTCACTCCACAGTTTCCTACATACTCCATCATATTATCTTTCCTTAGTATATATATATTCGAGGATCCAAACAGGCCCTGATACGATTAGTGTGTACTGAAGAGGATACTATACTAACATCTTTACGGGTGCAAAAAACACGAAATGGAAGAAACAACTCTTTTGTCTCTGGGTCCGAGTTGTCTCCGCTTGTAAACCCATTGTCGTCAATAGAATGCTGGCTCAACCCTGCGAAGACGAAACACTTTGAAATCAGTATTTTGAAACAGAACTATAATATGAAATAGGAAGCAATGTGAGAATGACTTTCTTGGCTTTCAACATTACTGGCTTTCAACATTACAGGCTTTCAACATTACAGGCTGCCATTCACAAAATTTCACACACAAAATGAAATCGCATTGCGAATTCATTGCTCTTAAAAATATCTTCCCAGTCCAAATTAATCCCGTTTAATTCCAATTACATCTCGTCTACTTCTGTCCACACACTATGTTGTCCTCGTCAAGCCATGTTATTCCCTCAGAGACCCGTTTAAATTCAATCAAATCTATTAGGAACGATAGATGTATTACGAATTAGAATATTATATATCACCTTATTTTATTGTTTCCTTATTCTATTGTTACTATAGTTCTTCTGCTATTATGATTAGAACTCTCTGGAAATCTCTATATATAGGGAGGTATCCTTCATTATTGAATGCAATGAATGAGGGGGGGGGCTAACTTGGGGTGGAGAGAGCGAGCGAGGGCGAATGGGAGAGGCTAGAAGCGGGTTTGATCTTGACATGGATCAAAATGACGGGCTGGCCTTTGGTGACGAGGCTCTCAACCGTCCACCGTAGGGCAACTTGGCTCCCTCTGTCTTTGTCTATCGCCACGGCCACCAGTTTCGGCACCGACTGGCTCCCCATCTTCCCCTAGCTGATCTTCGTATTCACCTTCTACCTTCTTCTCTCCATTGTTGAGTTCTTCAGTTTCATCGCAACCTGCAGAATAATAGTTTGGATGAACGGGGAAGAAGATGAAAAAGCTTCTGTGATGCCGATTTGGGGGAGAAAGGATTAATCACCACAAGCCCGCGCGAGGGAGATCCGCATTTGGCGGTTATGCTCCAAAAATCTGTTATTCCTCTCCCATTTTCATGCGCTGCCAACCTGGGCTAAAATTTATTTTGATTTTTTGGGGAATTTATTTTTAATAAGGTTTGTAATTTACTCCGTATTAAAGTAAAATTTATGTTAAATAGTACCTAAAAAATTTTTATTTTCTAAATTATATTTGAATAATGTTCCGTGGTGATTGATATTTACTTGAATAATATTCAAAAGACATTGAATTATGGTATTATATTAGAAAACTCACTATGTTTTAGGAGAAATGTTTGGTTCACAAATAAAATAATCACAAAATTGACAAACTTACTGTTTGTGAATTTCTATAAATAAAAAAATAAAGTAGTCTAAAATAATTTTAAAATTAGATTTTAAATCATAAATGATAAGTTTGTAAATTTAGTGAATATTTTATTTGTGAACCTAGCAATGTTCATGTTTTAGTAGTACTAAATAAGTAAATTCTCCTTTATTAAACTCCAAGACTTCAATAAAATTTATTTTTAGTTTAAAATGTATGAAGTCCAGGCTTCAATTAAAATTAAAATAAAAACACGGCCATAATGCAAAACATTGTTTTTTTTATATGCAAAACATTGTTAAAATGTAGAAATTAAACTTTAATGTTAATACCAAACAAAGCATATAAATAAATGAAAAATACGGTTAAAACCATTATTAAGAAATACAGACTAATTGAATTTTCTATTTAAAAAAACAAGAAATAATTAAATTTATTCATGAATCTCACCCACAAAATAATAAATGTAATGCTAAATAATATGAGATATTAAAATATAATGTCAAAAAAATTATAAAATGTGTTCAATATTGTTGTAAAAAATTTTGTATAGTATATATATAAAACTATAACAAAAATCTACAAAATTTATGTGATCCTCCCTTCGTCTAAAAATTTCATTCTCATTTTTCTTTTTTCAATTTCTCATTTTGGAATTTTTTTTAAATAATGTGCCATTATATCTTTATTTTTTATCTACATTATTTACTATATTCCATCATTTTAAGAGCAACACATTAAAAAGTTTTTACATTTTTAACTTTTTTTAATATCCGTGCAAGTGGAAAAGAAATTTTTGGAATACATTAAAAAGAGATTGATAAGCAAGTCCCCGCGTGACCAGTATCTTGACATCCGACGATACCGAGGCGAGCATTTCATTACATGGCGGCGGCGGCGGCGGCTTCGCTTATTCCGGCGGTCAATTCGTACAGCCGAATCCCTTCTCCAGGTCTTCATTTCACCGCGTGCGTGGGGGCGCAATCAGTTACAGTATTATCTACATTACTAATTAAAAAATTATTGTGTTTATTATTATTATTATTTTTATTTTGCAGGAAAAAATTGCAAATATGTTGGCCAATCTGTGGTAAGGGTTTCTTTCTTCTTAATAACCGCAGAGTATTTTATCTCTATATTCATACTCAATTATGTCTTTTGTCCATTGTTTTATACATTCCAAATCAAGTAATTCAATCATTTCATTTTCTACTCCACACTTTTCACACATAAGAACAATTTAATTTATTTTATTTTGGAATTCATCAATTTTATTATATTCGGCTTCATTCGATCCTTATTTATGCCCAATTTGGCATGATGCTTTAATATAAACTAGTATTTCACCCGTGCGATGCACGGGAATATATTACATCTAAAATTCTTTGTTATGAATATACTTAATTTGAACTACTTTTTCAAACTTTAAATCGAGTACTATCTAAAAATATAAATTTAAGTATAAACAATGTACGTTATCGTCCAATAGAAAAAATGTCCACATATACAAATATACATCTTTTATTATAAATTGAAAGAACAATGCTCACAATAAATAATATATTTTTTAAGAATTCTTCCATTTCTTAATAATCAATTTTGGAGAACTCTTTCAATTCCTAATGTAATCCCTACGAATGTTTCTTGATAATTTTGCATCCAAAAGTTTTTTAATAAGAATCTTTAAGTAGTATTCTTTAATATTTATGCCCAATTTGGCATGATACTTTAATATAAAAGTAAAAGTTTAATTAAAATCAATTAATTACTTCTAATAGTTCTCTTTGTAAAATATTAGTACTAGACATTCTTAATGCTGGAGTAATACAGTTATTCCATCAGCTTTAGTAATAATGTACAGAGGGCGTTGCCAATCCGGGTATTGACGGTTGGAAAGAAGAGATCGCCCGGTGTTCAATTGATAGTTGATGAGTATCTTGAAAAGGTGAGGCATTACTGCCATGTAGATGATGTGCGGATTAAATCCAATCCGAAGAATGCCCGGTTAGTCACCCTATACTTGATCTTTACTAGAAAATGAAGATAACAAGTATACAACTTTCTGTTCCTTGTTTTTGTTGGTCACTTATCCAGTTGTATGGAAATTGGCCTGTTAAGTGACCACAAGGACAAAAAAGTGACCAAAAAACTATAGCCATACACGAAAATGGAAATCTTTTTGGCACTATGTTTGGTTCAAATAATTTGAAAGGAAAAGAAAAGATTTTTTTCTCGTTTTTCTCACTAAAATTGAAAGAATTTTGTTTTCCATCCTCTTAGTACGGTTTGCCTTTCATTTTATATTCCTTCCACTTTGGTTCAAGGAATTTGGAAAGGAAAGAAAAGAAAATAGGTTTCTCTTATTTTCTTCACCAAAACGGGAGGAATTTGGTTTTCCCTCCTTTTAGTAATATTTGTCTTCTCATTTTTTTTCTTTCTCCTTTTCTTTTCTTTTTCTCTCTAACCAAACAAGAAAAACTATTTTCCATCTCATTTTCTTTTCTTTTCCCTTTCAAATTCCTTGAACCAAACATAATGTAACAAAACATGAAAAGTTGTTTTTCATTTTCTTTTCTTTTCCTTTCAAATTCCTTGAACCAAACAGTATAAAAGATGGAGACGAATGAAACGTTTCGTTACTCAATATTCTTCCTTCGGTCAATTCACAGTCACTCGGACATTAGTTGTTCAAATGGTTGAAGTTTTATGGCAATTTTCAACGTTTATCTTCTTGAATTAACAGTGACGTGACTGCTCAGATTGAACACGAGAGCATGTCCGTGATCGGTGTTCTTCGTCCCGACGATTGGGTACGAACTGCATTTTGCATTGCTACATCATTTTCTTAAAAAAGCAATCTTTCCTTCTTCGTTTTGGATGTACGAGTAACTAGTAATTTTCATATACACTCCGCATATGTTTCTACATTTTGTAAATGCAGGTGGTAATGGTAGATGAGCATGGAACTGATGTTTGCTCTGAGCAGATGGCTTCTTTAATTGGGGATGTTGGGAACATGGTATGAGTGGTAGTGTGCTAAGATTCATTTGAAGCTGATAATGTGTTGATTAACTTAGATTTTCGAAAAACATGTTCTATTGTCAACAATGCATACAGTGGTAATATGCCATGTTTAGATTAGTGCAGTTGGGAGTGAGAATTGTTTTTGCTATTTCACTTCCGAATTTGCCCTCACATTAGTGGGGTTGGAAGTCTAAGTTGCACCGAGACGGTGAATTGACATTTTTACCCCATCAGGGAGCAGCGAATTTGGTCTTTTGCATAGGCGGGCCTTATGGACACGGACGACATTTGCAAGAGCGAGCAAATATATCGATCAAGTTGTCATCTTTGGTCTTAAATCATGAGGTTGCATTAGTTGTATTGGTGGAGCAACTTTACAGGTTAGTGTGTACTAAAATTCAAATATTTACGGTATGTGTATAGTTATCGTTATATATTGACAACACATCACACATCTAAGTATATGTAAACCTCTAACGTTACGGTTCTTTTGACACTGATTTTGAGTGTTATATTATGACACCTGGACGCTACGGTGCTCTCTAGGGTTCTTTTTGCACGAATTCATGTTTTTCTAATTTCTCTTAAGTGGACAAACAAATGTTGTTAATGATTTACTTATTGATTTGCAACATCTTTTGAAGGGCATGGACCATTCTCAAGGGACAGAATTATCATCATTAGATGGCATGCTTTCTTAAAAGACACCAGCCTGCTCCTTTAGGAAAAAAAATGGGATTCATTATAGTTTCACCAGGCAAGGAAGCAGTTTGAGGCATTCAAACCAGATTGCAGAAAAAGACCATATAATGTATGTATCAAGAGAGAGAGAGATGAATGAAAAAATGTAAAGGGTAGAAAGATTAGCTGGAAAAGCTGTGTTTTTTGGATGTTTTGTAAATACACACATTTTGTGCTCAATGCAGATTATTGTTTGCATTATAAAGTCTTGCAATGATTAGGACTTGTTTGGTAATGGTATCTTGCTGATATTTTTTAAAAAATATTAGAAGAGGATTTTGCAACATCAATTTCTGCCAAATTAGTAGTCAAAAGTTGAGGCTACCAAACAAAGCCCAAACCACTAGTTTTGTGAATGTAAACGTGGCCATATTATTTTGCAGCTGAGGGGGCAAAGTTTCAAGAACCCCCTTTTGTTTGCATTGCTTCTAATTGTCACCACAGAGTAAAGCACTTAGGAGACTTTGGGATTATGATTCTCAATATCTATATGAAAAACAACATATAAATGAGCAGTTTCAAGGTTATGAATTACTCCCTCCGTCCGCCTAAGATGTTCTCATTTTGACTTTTGGTGGTTTTTAAGGAGAATTGAAAAAAGGTGAAAGTTTACCATAATACCCTTAATGAAAAATGGGTAGAGTGTATTAAATGAGGTGGGTGAGGTGTAATAAATAAAGTGGGGGTAGTTGTGGTATTTTATTTGTTAAAAAATGAAATGAGAAGATCTATTGTAGACAAAGAAAAAGGGCTATTGGGAAGATCTATGATGGACAGAGGGAGTATGATAATAGAGCCATACTCCCAACTATAGTTAAATTTGTGTCAGAGACAACAAATGTTCTCAATGAAAGCTTTCACAATAGTGAACCAAAATACATAGAGATTTTTTCTATATTCAAGGGCCAATAAAATCTTGTTTCACAACAAACAATATTTAGGCTGCCAAATCCGTGGTGTTACCGACAATGGGAGTTAGCGCATAATCCTTCCTCCCCTTTCCGCAAACAATTAGCTTGAGCTTTGAAGTTAATAGCAAGTCTCTGAAGAACGATAACTTGAATTTCTTTCAAGAATAATCCATGGCAATGGCCGGGACAACGGATTCTGGTAGAGGGCAGACTTTAACAGGGGACAAGTGTGACTTGATTGGAAGGTGTGCTGTTGTTGTTGGATTATTACTCACGATTGTCTTCTTCCTCTCCTTGGGCGTGCCCGGAAGGACAACCCCAAGAGCTTTCCTAACTTCATTTGCAAGTTCCACGATATACTTGTCTTGATGCCCTGCTTTTCAATGTATGTTAAAAGATCAAATCACACTCGGTTTTAGCATCGCTATCATATTACAAATGACCAAAGAGGAGGGCAGAATGGGATAATGCCCCTTCGTAACTTGGAACACTTGCACAAATCAGGACAGATACCGCTCTTTATTTGTCATACTAAGATTATACTCCGTATTTTACAATTTATATCCTTCCAAGTGAGTCCTAGGAGAAGAAAAAAAACAGGACACATACCGATATCATACAAGGCTTTCTCCATTTTGAAAATATACTCTCTGTTGTTCCCACAAGGACCAAAGGCAGTTGCAATTTGTCTGCAGCACAAGATGAAGAATCAGAACGATAAAAACTACTCCCTCTGTTTATAAAGAGCCTATCAGAAAACACAAATTTATCAAAAATATCCTATTTAAACTCTAGAAGTTCGTTTTCAATATATTCAGAGTTTTTATTTTTTAAAAAAAAATGTTCCAAGCAAGATGAGGATTAAATTTAGTTAAACCAACAAATAAAGTAAATAAAAACCATAGTTATACGGAGTACTTGGTATATCTAATAGTAGCCATACTTTTTCCTAAAAGTAATGTTTTACCGTAATAGGAATCTTTTCAAAATTTCTCATAAAAGGATCATACTATGGAATGAGAAAAAGTAGTGTATCATACTTTGCCATAACTTCCATTGGGGCAGGCCCAAGATAGTACTTGTTGTTCACTTTGTCTGGAGTTGACATAAACCTGCACATTATAAGAAGCTCAGCCATGTTATTCTTTTTCTTTGCACCCGAAATTGGGGTTGAGCGTTTCAAATTCAGTTCAGATTTTGTCAATTTTTGGTTTGGTTAGGCATAAATTGAACTTTTTTCGATTCACTTTGATTCAGTTTTAAAAAGTTTGGGGGAAAATTGACAGACAACATATTTATTACATATGGCTCAATTTTGGTTTGGTTGAAACCGAACCCACAAATGCCCACCCCTGCTCAAAACGGCTACCGTTTGACAGCAGAACAAAGAAGCACTTACACAAAAACTCCAGTTAGAGCAGGATTGACAGAGTCTTGTTCCTGAAATGGAAAATGAAAAAGAATTAGATACCAGTTCCTAAAAAGAGTTTGTTGCTACTTTCTTCAAGTATCATTAGAACTTCCATTTTTTAAAAGATTATATCATGCCCTCTCTCTCTCTCTCTCTCAAGGAAGGTACTACTTTTTTTAATCCAATATTCGTCTTGTATTAGTATAATAGTATAGCATATATGATAGCTAATTACTCCCTTTGAAAAGATAGCCGACTATCCTTTTGAACGTGAATTAAGAAATGATTATTAAGTGATTTGAAACTATTGGTTTTATAGACTCCCACTTTTATCCACTTGTAAAGTTAATGTTCATATGCATGAGTAAGCATTTGAAATCTGGTTATTAAGTAGGGGTAAGCATAGAAAGAGCCAATCCAAGTAGAAGCACGCTCAGAAAATTACCGTATAGAAGTCGATTAAGGACTTGTGATCATATTCGCATTCCCTTCGCTCCAAATACTACCAACAACAAAAACAAAAACAAACCATTATACAAGGCCAGATTAGAGTCAAATTCAACTAAATAATTAAGAGAATACCATAATTACTAATATCATGCCGGATTATTTTGAAACAAATTCAACTAAATAATTGTTTTTTTTTTGCAAGAAACTATACAAGGCCTTGTGTTGTGTTGTACCTCCATTGCCTTTTTTTCTTTCTCTGCCCCTCCTCTAACACAATAGGCAGCACCCCACTGGAAAAAAACATGCACAAATATGGAAAACTCAGAGAAGTTGGTCCTGACAGTTGTATAAGATATATCAAAGATAACAAACATCTACAGACTGTGAGAAAAACACTCCAATGGTAAAAAAAACTTATGCTATTATCACTTACTCTATTCCAAAAAGGGTAAATGATAGACAAGTAAGATAAGTATTTTTCCCCCAAAAAAAGTAAGATAAGTATTTCTTATTTACACTCCCTAGACACATTGCCCTAAACTTGAAATTGGAGTAGTCCATGACCACAAATGACACACAGAAAGGAAAAGAATCTACACTGGACAACCAAAAGGGGAAGTGGGTAATGTTTTTTTGGGATGGAGCAAACAAATTAAATCCATAAACTCATACTGCAAACAAATCAAATCTATAAACCCATACTGTAGTAATTTTGGAATCAATAAAGATTTCACAATTTACAGACACTTACACAAATGGCTCCCTCACTTTGTTCCAGGGTGCAAGTTCTGGCAGGGTGTTCAGGCGTACCTCTGTGATCAATGCAAGCTGATATACATACCAATATCAAAATCAGATCAAAATGGGAAGGAACCATACCTGGAAAATTAAAGCCTAGACATACAAGAACATACCAAGATCGAAAACCCGCCTGTAATCCTTGATGTAACCAATGATTTTCTCATCATATTCAAACCCGGGGTTCCAAACCAACGACCCGTAACCAAAAATCCAGAACACCATCTTGATCAAGCTTCTTCCTCAAACCCCCAAAGCTGCCAAAACAATCCAATTTGCTTACGAAGTCACTAGATGTTTCAATTCACACAATGAATTAGAACGAACAGTCACAATGAACGAGAAACACCCACTACACGACAGTGAATTTAGGTTCCAATTTCAGCTTCTGAGCTTCCCTAAACACATTACGACCCGAAACAAAGAAATTCATGAAAATTAAATAAAAAAATGGATTGTAAGCTCACCAATAGAGAAGAATGCTTCTGAACCCGCAAAACGATTAAAAAATCGTCTCTTTTCTCCTAGAAAGGGAAGATGATGTTCTATGAATAGGATGGATCGGAGATTCGGGACAATAATTGAATTGGGTTTGAATTGAAATCGCAAACCCTACACAGATCAGAGAAATGGAGATAGAGAGAAGAGAGACCTAAGATTTTTTTTAAATTTTTCTTGGGTTTATTCTCTCCTTCTTCAATCAAACCTCTCTCTATCTGTTGGGTATGGATTTGGAGTTGATGCAGTTCCAGGGAGGAAATGTATTTATAGAATCACAGTTGAGCAGATCTTCTTTCCTTTTTTTCCTTTTTCTTTTTTTTTTCGTTTTCATTTCCTTTTTTACTTTTTGCCTGTGGTGATTTTTGGCATGTGTATGTATGTGGATGCATGTACGGTCAGGTTCATTGTGCATTAGAATGAATGACCGGGTAGGTGCAAGAGGAGGTAAGGGGTGTAATAGGCATGTTTTATTCATTTTATTTTTATATTAGTCACTCCGTCCAAATTTATAGTGTTTATTTAGATTTATGATGTTTAACTGAAATTATTTTTAAATTATTTTATATGATAAATGGTATTGAGTTTAAAAATAAAAATTACATATTAAAATACTACGGAGTACATCAGAAGTTCTACAAAACTAGTAGTAACAATAATACTTTCTTTTATTAAATTGCTAATAAAAATAGAGAAAGAAGGTGAATGAAGTTTGATTATGTGAATAGTCAACGGACAGTATAAATTGGGACGGAGTAAGTAACATTTAAAGTTTGATCCTTTGATACAAATAGGGTTGTAAATGGATAATCAAAATTTGATTACCGTCTGCATCTCGTTTTCATGAAAAATATCTCTATCCGTTAAAAGCGGTTATTATTTTTGAAGCTAAAAGATGAACCTCATTCCTTAGGGTTCCTTCAGACCTGGCCGGACGGCCACTACTTAGGTTGCGTTCTATTTGCCTGATATGATCTGATTACTTGAAAATCTAATCTGATGTAGTTATAATTAAAACTCCTTATAACCTGGTCTGATCTGATAAAA